AAGTTCCAAACCCTAAACCCTAAACCCTAAACCCTAAACCCTAAACCCTGAGGGTTTGAACCTGTTTGGGGATCAAGTCCACGTATTGGGGTTTGACAACAGCTTTTAAATTCTCTTCAATTATTTTCGTGAAATAATTTTGCAACTCAGACCCTCTGTAAGCTGCAACTATTTCCCGCCACTCCGGAGGGTTTGCGTAGCGACCTGCAACAAAACCGTAAACCCTAAACCCTAAACCCTCAAAATCAACCCTCAACCCTCAACCCTAAACCCTAAACGCTAGGAAGCGAGTCTCGGGCCCCGCACCAGCCAGCCCTCTGCCCGGCCCCTCAGAAGTGGCTCGTCAACGCCCGCAAACCCCAAACCCTAAACCCTAAACCCTAAACCCTAAACCCTACCTAAGTTGGGTTTGAGTTTGGCGGAGAGGATTTTGAGGGCCGTCGATTTTCCCGTGCCGTTTGTGCCCACAAGTCCCAACACCTAAAAGACAATTAATTCAATTAATTAAATTAAAAATAAATAAATAAATAAATAAATGATTCAATTGATTCAATTAAATAAATTAATTCGATTTGATTTAATTGCGTCACTAGGGACAAAAGTCAAAGAAGAAAAGAAAATAAAAAAGAAATATGAGGAATTAAAAGGAGCCAAAAAGAAGCAAAGATGAAAGAAAAAGAAACAACGGAACCAAAACCCCCAAACCCTAAAAGAGCGTATACGGCGTTCCCGAGGTCCCCAGGCACTGGAAAACCCTCGAAAAAGAGCGGCCCGAATGCCCGGGGGCGCCCGGCGCGCCAAACCCCAAAAGAGCGGATAGGGAAACCCCAAAAGAGCGGATAGGCAGGCCGGAAAGGCGCGGACCTGGCCGGGACGCGGCACGGGGAGGCGGTGGAGCTTGAACTGGTTGGGCCCGTATCTGTGGGCCACCTCCGCGCCCAAGTCGCGGGGCAAGTTGATTATTTGAATTGCAGAAAAGGGACACTTTTTGACGCAAATGCCGCAGCCTATGCACAGCGGCTCGGAGATGAGCGCCACCTTGCTGCTGCTCTCCACCTCGATGCAAAATTTCCCTGAAAAACCGCAGCAAACGGACCCAAACTCGCGCTGCTGCTGCTGCTGCTGCTGCTGCTGCTGGGCTGCGGGCGTGGCTGAGTGGGGCTGGGACTCCTGCTGCTGCTGCTGCTGCTGCTCGGTGTGTAGTGCTCGAACGCCTGCTGCTGCTGCTGGGTGCGTAGTGCTCGAACTCTTGCTGCTGCTGCTGCTGCTGCTGCTGCTGCTAGAGACCTGTGCGGACGACGGGGCAGCTTTTTTTGCATTCTTGGCGGCACTTTTTGGGTTTGCATTTATCGCCGTTGACAATTGCAATTCGCAAACGACTCGGATCCTCGTGGCCCTCCTGCTGCTTCTTTCCGGGAGCCATTGCTGCTGCTGCTGCTGCTGCTGCTGCTGCGGTGGGTGCTGCTGCTGCGGGTGCTGCTGCTGCGGGTGCTGCTGCGCGGGGTGCTGCTGCGGGTGCTGGGGGGGGTGGGGATGCGGCGGGAGGGTTCTGGGGTTGCAGCAGCAGCAGCTGCTGCGGGTGCTGCTGCTGCTGCTGCTGCTGCTGCTGCGGGGCTGCTGCAGCGGGGCGGTGAGGAGTGGAGACACCCCGCGGGGAGGGGCAGCAGCAAATCTGTTTTGTGGGAAATTAAAAAGAGACAAATGGAATAAAACGATGAAAAAGAATATAAAACGGCTGCCGCGCCTCGCAGCAGCAGCAGCACTAGAAGCAGCAGCAGCAGCAGCAGAGGAGAATGGTGTGGGGCCCGAACGAAGAACTCTGGAGAACTTGAGCAGCAAAAAAGCAAAAGACTTCCCAACGAGCTGCGGGGCCTCTCTGCTGCTGCTCTGCTGCTGCAGCGGGGTTGGGGGATCTGCTGCTGCTGCTGCGAAAGCAAGGAAGCAAATTGTTTGTTTTTTGTTTTTAAATGTATTTTAATTCCATTTAAACTCCTCGCTAATATTAAGGGCTACAGCAGCTCGGAATGTGGGGCAGCAGCACCGGCTGCCGGGGCTGGCTCAGCGCCGCAGGGGCCCCGGGGCGTCAGTGGACTCCCGGGGCCTCTAAATGGACTTTTGCGCCTCAAATGGCATTATTTTTGAATTCTTCCCCCAATTTCCTCCTTTTTAAGCCTCCTTTTGGGGCTTTAGCCGTTCAAAGAGGCCCCGAACGGCGCCGGCGCGCGCTCTTCAGGTGTACAGACACCCCGCCAGCTGCCGACGCGACCTGCAGTTTGCTGCGCTTCCGGTGTACAGACATCCCCCAACCGCCGCGTTCGTTTCGTTTTCCAAGTTTAAAATTCTTTTGAAACTTTTTTTCCCTCTTTTGGCTTCTTTTGGCGCGCTTCCAGTGTACGTACACCCCAATGCTGGGCAGCAGCCGCTCCCCCAGCAGACACAGACACCCGAGAAGCAGCAGCGCAGAGCCCGATCTCAGGTTTATAGTTCGCTATGTAATAAGGGACTCCCCGAGGCTTCTTCTGCAGCGGCAGCAGCAGCAGCAGCTGCTACTGCTGCAGCAGCAGCAGCTGCAGCTGCAGCAGCAGCAGCCGCTGCTGCTGCAGCAGCACCGGGAGGCGCGCAGCAGCGGCGCTGCATTCGCACTGGTCAAAGACGTGCATGAGCAGAGGCACTCAGCAGCAGCAGGGCTGCGGCTGGTGCTGCTGGGGCCGCAGCAGCAGCAGCAAGCCCTCAACAACCAGCCCCTCTTTGCTTACTTGTCCAGCAGCAGCAGCAACAGCAGCAGCGACAACAGCAACAGCAGCAGCAGTTTGGGCAGCGTGTACTACGGGGTTGAGGCTTTAGACCGAGCAGCAGCGAGGGCGAGGGCATCCGCAGAGGAAGCAGCAGCAGCAGCGTCGGCTGCTGCTGCTGCAGTTGCTGCTGCTGCTGTTGCAGTGCAAGCAGCAACAGTAGCCGCGGGACTCGCAGCAGGTGCAGCAGCAGCAGCAGCAGCACAGAGTCAGCTGCTGAGCAGCTTATTAGCTGCTGCAGGAGTAGCAGCAGAAAGTGAGGTGTCTGGACACCCCGATGCTGCTGCTGCTGCGCCCTTGTAAATGAAGAATTGTAAATATTAACTTGTCACGTTTATTTATTTATTCATTTATTATTTATTTATTATTATTAACTTATTAATTCATTTATTATTTTACTTCCTAAAAACAAAACAACTCCTTCTTAAAGAAGTGCAAATTGTCAAGCAGGGCCCCACATTCTCCATTATTATTTTATTTTTTATTTTATTTTTTATTTATTTACATTACTTAGTTCATTTACTTATTTGTTTCCTTTGCCTTTGAACTGCAGCAGCAGCAGCACCATCTGCTGCTGCTGCTGCTGCTGTTGTGGCAGCAGCAGCAGCTGCTGCTGCGGTGTACTTAAAGCAGCAGCAGCAAAGATACAGCTGCAGCAAGCAGCACGGAGTAGAGAAGTTGGCAGCATTTAATTCAATAAAACAAATAAAATACAATAAAATAAAATAAAGAAACAAATAAAACAAAACATAAATAAAAAGATATAAATAAAATAGATACAAATTAAAAGCCAGCAAATAAGAATTACTATTATTTATTTTATACGAGGAAATTCTGTTCATTCGGATTTCCCCACTGCTGATCCAAATATATCTGCTCATTTATATTCATTTATTTATATTTATATTCATTTATTTATTTATTTATTTACTTAACACTCAGCGCAAACTCCAGAGAAAGTCAACTTGCACGAATTTCCAGCGCAGACCACGAAGTGTACGTACACCCGAAAAGCAGAAACAGCAGCAGCAGCAGCAACAACAGCAGCAGCAGCAGCAACAGCAGCAACAACAGCAGCAGCAGCAGCAGCAACAACAGCAGCAGCAGCAGCAGCAACAGCAGCAGCAGCAACAGCAGCAGCAGCAACATTTTAATTTATTTGAATTCGGAGAAATTGGAAAGTGAAGAATGGGGTATGCGTTGAGCTGCGGTGTACGTACACCTGGAGGGCGTAGCGTTTGCAGCAACTTCTGCATGCATTTTTTGTCGAATTTGAATTAATATTTATTTTAATATTATTTTTATATTATTTTAACAGTTATTTTAATATTTATTTTTATTTTATTTGTTTTTGTTTCATTTAGTATCTCTTTTGTTCCAACTTTGCATGCAAAGAGAAGCAGCAGCTTCCGCGGCTGTTCCTCTGCACTCCCTAGGTGGTACTAAGTGGAAATAAATAAATAAATAAATTAAATAAATAAATAAATAAATAATAAATGATAAATAATAAACAAACAAATAAATAGTTGTAACAATTCATTAATGCAGATTAAATATTCAATTCCGAAAAGCGTAAAGGCTGGAATGCTAACTTTCGCGCTGCACTTTCCCCGCAGCAGCAGCAGGTCTCATTTTGCTGCTGCTTCTTCTGCGGGCGCTGCTGCTGCTGCTGCTGCTGCCATTTGCGATCTTATTTCGTCGAGATAAGCAATAAAGGCAAAGGCCGAAGCCTCTGCTGTGAAGGGCTGTTTGTAAAGAAAACGCGAAGCCAAAAAAGTGGTGAATATCGCCCGCTGGTAAGTCTCGGGCACCCTGCAAACCCCAAACCCTAAACGCTAAACCCTAAACCCTAGGCCCTGGCCCCTAAGCCCTAAACCCTAGGCCCTTAAACCCTAAACAGTGGGAAACAATGGGCAGTGAACACTGGCTCTACTCCACGCACAGTGGTGAGTCCACGCCGGCACGCAGCCCAAACCCTAAACCCTAAACCCTAAACCCTCGAGAACTCCCCGAAAGTCCATTTCTTGCTTTTCTTAAGACTTGGCTCTTCTAAAACCGAAAAGTCTGTTTATTAAGCCCCTATCCCCTCACTAACTGATCTAATATTCATTTAATTCATTTAATTAATTATTTAATTAATTATTTTATTTATTTATTAATTTTTTTATTTTTCACCTCTGGCGAAATGTCTCCACGCTGATGAGCCCCGGCACCAAAACATCCGGAATGGATTTCGTCAAAACGAAATTCACAAGTGCCTAAAAATTAAATAAAATAAAAATAAATAAATAAATAAATAAATAAAACAAATAAATATAAATAAATAAATAATTAATTAATTAGTTATGGTGGAATGGCTGAAGGAGAAAATTTGCAAATGGGGGAGTGAAGAAAAAAATGAAAAACTGGACATTTGGATTTAACTATTTCAACTGAATTTAATTGAATCTTTTAAATTGAATTTAATTAATTATTTAAGCTGCATTTAATTAATTTAATGAGTTTAATTTAATTCATTTACTTTATTTAATTTAATTAATTTAATTTAATTAGCTCACTTCATCTTTCCAAAGAGCACTGGAGCCCGCCATATCTGTTTTTAGTTGATTTATTTTTTGAGACAAAATGTCCGTCAAGTCGCACTTGTGCATCCCTGCAGCAGCAGCAACAGCAGCAGCAGTAGTAGTAGTAGTAGTAGTATATTAGTTAGTGAGCACCAGCGACAGCAGCAGTTAGGAGAGGGAGCAGCAGCAGCAACAGTTAGTAGCGGGAGCAGCAGCAGCAGCAGCAGCAGCAGTTACACCGGCAGCAGCAGCTGCTGCTGCTGCTGCTGCTGTTACAGCAGCTGCTGCTGCTGCTGCTGTTACAGCAGCCGCAGCAGCAGCAGCTGCTGCATTTGAAACCTGAAACTGCAATTACGAATCAGTCTTCCAAAGCAAAGCCATATGAAATGAAACAAAGAAACAAACAAACAAACAAATAATAAATAATAATAAATAAATAAAATAAATATTCCAACCTGTTCTTTCCGCTTCATTCCAAATGGCTTCGAATTCAAGTCTTGCGTTTTCTTGAATTCTTTGCAAAATGGCTTCGACGTAATCTTTGTAGAACTTTGGCGGATTATTTGGATCCTTGACCTAAAACGGGAATAAGAAAAGGAAATTTGCAAAAAGGGAACTTTTAAAAGAAAACAAAACGAAAAAAGGGAACTTTTCGGGGGATTTCCGAGGGAACTTGGCCCGCAAGAAGCCATTTCAAGAAGTTTCCAAAAGCCCAATTGCAGAAACGAGAAGTGCAATTCGACCGAAAATGCACAAAAAGCCCTCGAATTGTGCAATTCAATTATCAATTTCAAATTAATTTGCAACTAAATCATTTGGCGGCTCATTTAAAGCCGAAATTCGCAAAAGCTCCGGAAGTAACGGAAATTCAAAATAAGGATCTCGCGGTGGATTTCGAGTTTTTCGACGCGATTTTCAATTTTCTCTTCGATTTTGCTCTTTTCCCTTTCCAAATTTAACTCTATTTGTTAATTTCTCGCAATTTTCCGCCGAATTTGGCGAAAATTTTCGTTTTTTCTGCGGATCTGTTCTGTGTTGAATTCCGTTGTTCCTGCTGCTGGGCGTGCGTTCAAGCTTCGAAACTTTGGGATATTCTCCGTTTTTCGCCGTTTAAAGGCCCAACTGGGGAATTAAAGGGTTTATTTTTCGCTTTTGTTTGTGGAATTGGAAACTCTGTTTGAAATGGCGTTCAAAAAGTCCATTAAAAGGACTTTTCGCGGAGCTTACCCGCATATGCCGGTCGAACTCTTCCTCAGTCAGCGACAGCGCGGCCAAGACCTCCATGCTGCTGCTGGTGACTCCGCCTTTGTTCGTCGAAGCTGCAGAGAGGAATTTGGAAACTTTTGGGAGATTTAAATGAAATTAAATGAAACTAGATGAAATTAAATGAAATTAGATGAAATTAAAATGCAAATATTCTTCAAAAACACTTTTAAATTCAACCTCTGCTCTTTAAACACTTTCAAATTCAAACTCCATTCCAGAAATCCTCCAAACTGCGCCTTTTCAAATCTTTTCAACCCCACTCATTCGAAACACCACATAAAATTAAAGAGCGAAATGAGGAATAAAATAAGAATGAAGACGTAATAAAAAGAATAAAACATCAAGACGAATAAAAGGAAAACAAGAACAAAATGAACAAAGGAAAACAAGAACAAAATGAACAGCAGAAGAAGACCAAAAAGAACTGAAAAAGATCCAAAAAAGACCCCAAAAAGACCAAAAAAGACCAAAAGACTCCAAAAAAGACCAAAACGGACCCAAAAAGACTAAAAAAAACCCCAAAAGACCAAAAAAAGACCCCAAAAGACCAAAAAAGACCAAAAAAGCCAAAAAGATGGAAAAAAGGCGAAAAAGCAAAAGAAGCAAGGGCGACTTTCCATCTTTGAAGAGAATGACGCCTCGGTTCTCCAGCTCCCGACGGGCCTCGTCGGTGATGAAGACGTTGGCGCCTTCGACGATGAACTTGAACTTGGGGAGGCCCGTTTGCTGCTCGAAGAGCTGCTCGACGTTGCGCGGGTTCACCGAGGCTGGGCGGCCCCCGCAGGGGTTGAACAGGTCGCAGACTGCGAACTTGGACAGGTGGAAGTTGTTCCGAAACTCTATCCCGCTCGCCACGTAGGTCCCGTCCGGCAGCCTGCAGCAGCAGCAGCGGCGGCAGCAGCGGCGCGTCCTGGTGCTGCTGCCAGCAGCAGCAAAAACGGAGTCCCCGGGGTTCGTGCAGCAGCAGCAGCAGCAGATTTGGCATCGTAGTTGCAGCAGCAGCAGCAGCAGGAGCGTAGTTTTAGTGATGGCAATTGACCAAGTAATGCTACGAGGAGTAACAGGAGCAGCAGCAGCGACAGACGTGTTCTGCTGCTGCTGCTCCTGCTGCTGCTGGTACTGCTGCTGCTGCTGCTGCTGGACTTACGTGATATCTCTTGCGTCTTGGGGAACTTTGAATCCTTTTGGAGACAAAAGAGAAGAGTCGAAAAGCATTGAAGAAGTCTTTTCTCCTTTAAATCGCAAACGCGCTAATCGCCGCAGCTCTTCGGCGTTCAGTCCTGCAGCAGCAGCTCAGCTGTACGTACACCCAAAGTTTCTCCCCCGCCCACCCCGATTTCGCGTTTTTTTCGCCATTTTAATTACCCTTGCGGATTAATTAGTTTTGAAATGAACTACACTGGATATTTCGGGATTAAAGACATTCAAAGGATTCAACTTGACGCCAAGATGGAGCAACCCCACGAAATATTCATGTTTGATCAACTTTCTGCATTTGAACGAACTTCAATTCCGAATCGCATTTCATTCCAAACTCCATTCAATTAAAAATATTTTTCAACCTTTTATTTCGTAAAATAAAAAACAAAATATATTTCAAAAGCATTAATGGCAAAACAAACCCAAACACCCCCCGAAGCAACACGAACACCAAACAACCCGCAGCAGCAGCAGCAGCAGCAGCAGCAGCAGCGGGCGGTGTTCGCGCAGGTTTGCGTCTGTGCATGCGCGTTGTGTTGCGGGGGAGGGGAGAAGGGCTGGGAGGGTGCGGAGGGTTTGGGGCTAGGGTTTAGGGTTTGCAAACCCTCGGGGTCGTAAACCACTCCGGCCCCGTCAACCACCGCGAGGGTTTTCGACTTCGTCTGCAGCAAAGCGTTGGAACCCAAGTCCCCATCGGGGCCTCCAGTTTGAATGCGAGTCATTTCCCTTTCGTCCAGGCCCAGCTTTTCGTAAATCCCTGCGCGCACACCCGCACCTGCTGCTGCTGCTGCTGCTGCTGCTGCTGCTGCAGCTGCAGCTGCTGCTGCGGGTGCGCGTGCGGGGGCAGCAGCTGCTGCTGCTGCAAGCTAGTGGCTGCAGGGGTGCTAACTGCTAGCTGCTTCTAGCTGCTGCCTAGCTGCTGCTGCTGCCTAGCTGTTGCTGCTGCCTAGCTGCTGTTGCTGCTGCTGCTGCAGTGGCGTTTATCTGCTGCTTCTCATCTATCTGTAGGATTTTCGTGGCGTTTGCTGCTTCTGTCTGGCTGCGGCCTCCGGCTGCGTGTGCTGCTGCGCATCTCCCCCTCCCCCTCCTCCGCCGCCGCCGCC